ATGGCCTCTCTTTGTGCCTCTCGTCCACAATGTACATCTTCCATCGTGCACTCAGTAGGAAGTTGGGGTTCCATTTCAAAGCTAGAACCCTCTTTCTTTCCAGAAATCCATGTTGCCAATTCTTGAATTGGTTTTGTCTGTATGACTGAAGCTGCCATGTACCGTAGAGCCAAACCAACTCTAGGTTGTGACGAACAATTCGGTCCAGACTCATGCACACAGTCAAACGAATGAAATGTTGCTTGTCCAGCTCTCAGTGGTATAGCAATAGCAGTACTGTTTTCCAATTGTTTTATCAGCGGATCTGGAATGAATTGCCCCAAGCTCAAAAGGTTGTCGTCAGAATCTTCAGACCGTCGTGTTTCGTGATGCATTTGGCCCCCTTTGTGCGATCCAGGATAGAACGACAAACATCCTTCGCGTTCACCCACCGGATCTGACAGAGCAACCCATGCAGTCAATACTTTGTTGGATGGAGACAACCCAGCGTACGTTACATCTTGATGAGGAGCAAAGAATCCAGGCGAGTTGGGTTTTTTTATGTTGATATCTGAGGACCACAACCAAATATTGGGACTACCAAGTGCTTCCTCAACTGCCTTAACTAGCACTGGATGATATGCTATCATAGATATTGCTGGCAGAATCAGATGTAGTTTGAATCGACTCGAGCCTTCCTTCTCAAGTTCCTCTTTCACTTCCCTCCAAGCCGCTTGGCTTTCTTCGAGCGTCAAGACATTTAACGGACCGACAAAGCCACTCTTGTCGAACGATTCTCGTATGCCCGTGAGCGACATTTCATGTGCATCTTGAATTCAACTACCGGTATATGGGGAAGGTATGCTTGGTTTGGTGGGACCGCTGCACTATTATTTCAGATTTGATCGTTGATGCCAAAATCTCAAAGATATCCGACTAAGAATCCAAAACGGTTCGATGGTCCTTCCGTCGTCCACTTTTGTCGGTTACGTTGGTTAATTCGTTAGATAAAAAGATCTTCAAAACTGAATATCTACATACTCATGTGAAAACAGTTACTTAGAGTTCGCGGATTTCTTGGAGTTTTGAAATCTTGTCACTCGATAGAATTCAAAACCCAAAACAACGGGCATCACAATTGATTGCAACTGGAATACCGTTGAAACACTTGACTGGCAGCTGCCTTTACGTGGAAAGGTATTGTCACACTCAAAGTACAAATCAAAAAACTTTTGTTTACATACATCAACGTCCAAAGACAACCAAAAGCAAACACGAAAAGATGACTCAACTCAACAATCTTGTCAAGCTTCTTCTTCTTTGTGCGATGGTCGCTGTTGGTGTCAATGCACAGATCCGTGGTAGTCATCCATTCGAATTTATTAAGCGTCGCATGGAAAGCAAGAAGGATGAAGCCATTTCTCGAGGAGAGCTTCAAGAACGCTTCGGTCTTCTCCCAAAGAAGGCACAAGGTTCAGGAAAGAGACGGAGCTTGCAAGAATCTGGATCTCTTCGATTCACCGGTATTTACAACGAAATCGGATCCGCCACTGAAGGAGCAACTCCCACTACAGTTGGAGCAGTCTTTGGATTGAATGGATTCATGTATGACATCGACTCTGGTGATGTAAGTAATAGTGGCTCTTGATGTTGAGTAAACAACTTATTGGAAATCGTTTTGCTGACATTTTTTCTTTTGAATATAAGGCCATTGGATCCTTGGAGGGAACATGCACAGTCAGCGCTTCCAATGACGAACACTTCTGCTCATACCATCTTTTGTTTGGAGACGGAGACAATGCTGGTCTCGTTGTCGCTTCTGGTACCCTCACATTCGGCGATAACGATGGTGGTTTCTTGATCGTTGAGGCTACCGCATTCAACTTGGATGGATACCAAGGTGGTATATTTACCCTACGATACGATTCCATTGAAAACTTGATCTTCACTGGCGAAATTGATCTTGTCTAAGCCGACGATGACAAAGATTGCGATGTGCTCACTAGCGTGAAAGTCAATCGGAGGGTTCATCCTGATTGACGGATGGGCCCTTGTCTCCCTTTGCAACGTACGGCGTCAGTGCAATACAATAGGAGGGTCCAGGAGGATGTTTCGGAAGATCTTGTATATCGGTCTCCTTTTCTCCTGTTCACTACATTAAGTACACTGTAGCAAATGGTATCATACGATTATTTTTTGAAAAACATCATGAAGCTATCAAATCATATATTCATTTATAATTTGCTTGTGGTATTAGAATCATCACTAAGATACGAGAACTGCAAGAAGCAACAGAGGTTTGGCGGTCATGGCTAGTATGCTTGTTCCCATCCCTTGTGGACTAAGAATCCGTACTGCCTTGCCTGTTCTGATGAAGCAAAAGGTGAGTGTGTGGGGCGCATACCACTGCACTATAATATGAGTATTGGATGGCGAGAACTTTGTGATCTGAATCTCAACAATAGAGATGTGCCAATGACATCTGGAACCACCACTTTCATTCATGATGATGGGTCGCTTCAGTGGCACTTTTTAAATCTCGCTCTGTGGTCATACTGCTTTTCACTGCAACCTTCATCCTAGATTGCATGTCGGCTACCGCCTTTGCCGGGTCTTTGGCTTGTAGGACAGCTCGAATAACAGCAACACCATCGGCACCAAGTTCCACAGGAATGTGACAGTTGCTTGCATCAATACCACCAATGGCCATCACTTTGGGTGGTGCCGATTTGGCAGCAACTTTAAGCGCTTGTTGGACAGTTCCAGGTAGACTAGGTCCTTCCAAATCAGCTTCGGAAGTCTTTTCAGGATGACTGGCGGTGAGAAAACAGGTTCCAACAAAGTAATAGTCTGGTTGATACTCTCTGTATGAATTCAGAGCGGATTCGACGCTGTGGGCCGAGGTTCCGATCCAAATCGGGGAATTGGAATTGGCCACAGTTAATCGTTCTCGGATATAAGGTACTTGCGACAAGTGGTGTTCCTTGACATGCACCCCATGAGCTCCTCCCAAGACTGCTGCCTCGACCCAATCACTCGAGCACACAACCTTGAAGCTTGGGCATGGTAGCAGCACTTGGTCTTCCACACCGACTTTTCCTCCATCTTTACAGTTTTCTGATAATCTTACTAGTCGCTTGGTAAGTTCTACCGCTCGTTCCATAACATGAGCAGAATCACTAGGCTTTAATCGAATTGAAACCAGGCTGATATCATCAGGTTGTTCCGCAACAGCCTTGGCAATGGCACTGTAAGATTCTTCCATTCTCGTGTTCGTCTCACAAGCATCTAGTTCGGTGATGATTGCCAGCCAACATGTCGAAGATGATGGTACTGTTGACAATGAAGTATCATCATCAGAGGAGGACGCATTCATGGTTGTTGCTGTCGAGGAGTGGATGACGTTGGATTGTGTCAATCCATTGACAGTTCCAAAGAGAAACAAAGCGATGACTACAAGAAACTGCACTTTGCCGGATATGAAACAATAGTTCCGACGGTGAAGGTGGCCTTTGCTACACTTTCGCATCATTGTGCTCTTGGAAGGAGGAAGAGTGGCAACGTTGTTTTTGTTGTATAAAAAGATCGCCCATTTGTATTTTTGCGGCAAAACAGCGTAAAATCTGATGAATTTGAACACGCAATAAATATGAAAAGATCGTCCATCGACTGAAGAGTTGACAAAATGCAAAAATAGATCGTCCATCCACTACTTGCGTTTTCGACTTACTTGGTTGATTGACTGAAACTAATCTACAGCACATCTTGAGGTCTTGTGAGCTCCAACAACAACGCGAAATACTGTATGTCGACAAAGGAGATAGTGTCACAATAACAGAAATGACTTCCCATCAAGAAATGATTATCAAGCTTTTCGAAGAGAATAGAATCACAGACTATCATAGTCTCCACCACGCACCAACAAAAACTTCCGAAGAGTCCGCCAAGGTCCGCGGGGTTGATTTGTCCTCTGGGGGCAAGGCTCTCGTCCTGAAGTATCTCAATGATAGTGACGAAGAGTCAAACACATTTGGTGTCTTTGTGATGAGTGCTTCCCGCAAGCTGCATACGAAGGCTATCAAGAAGGAATTCAAGACCAAGAATGTCCGGTTTGCCAATGCCGAAGAACTCGCAGGATTGACCAACGGGCTGGTCCCAGGTAGTGTCCCACCGTTTGGCAAGTCAATTCTCAACATGGAATTGTTTGTGGATACCTCGATTCAAGACAATGATATCATTGCCTTCAACTGTGGCTCGTTGACAGATTCTATCATCATGTCTACTTCGGACTATATTGCTGTGGCACAACCGACCAAAATCTTTTCATTTTCAAAAGAATGACGACGTAAATCCTAAAAGGAAGAACGGAATCCTTTGATCGGTACTTCAGAGCCGATGGAAATTTGACATTGTGGACGATGGCGGAAGGCTGAAGTCATGGTCGTGTTAGCACAGAGGACGAGAATCCACAATTTTACTGGCAATGGCAAATTTTACCTTCAGCGTTCCAAGTACAACAAGGTGTAAAAGGTCGAGACAAAACTACTGTATGGGGGAAAGTCTCGTCGTGGCAAGAGCGTAGATCGATGGAGTACAACGAAAATACCCTTTGTATTTTGCAAAATACATCAGGTATTTTGTGTTCGTATGGACAACTTGCTAGAAATACAACTCGTTAACTATAATTGTGAAGAATAAAATGAACCAGCGAATCCAATCCAAAATACTACAGTAGGACGATCTATCCAGAGAAATGGATAGATACTGGTATTTTGAAGCCTTGGGAAAGACACGCCTCCGTAATACATGGGAGAAATAGTACATCTACAATCATTTTTGGAACAAGTGAGGGTAATAGCCCTTCCTTGAAGTTGATACATCCTGTAATATATTGCAAGTCACGGTGAATCTGAGAGCATTGTACCGTACCGGTATCAAGTATTTGTTGGTATCTTTCTGAAGCGAATATTCAGTATTTTGCGTGTTTTGAATTGGTCGTTTCCTCGACTCAACCGATCAGCGAGTCTGGCTCGTACACGTTGCAAATGTACCAGAACCACATGAGATTTTAAATTGATTTGCGCAAGCAGATCCGATTTGAAAATGGGTTCACGAAAATCAAACTCGCATCCATTGATCCAAAACAAGCAACACCATCAACGAAACATGACCAATGCCATCATGAACACATCAATGGTATGCTTGATCTTGCTTGCATTTTCATGCGTAGCTTTTGCGGATGTATCGCCATTCTACAAAGTTAACACAAACGTCAAGGGACAGGAGTCCAATGAACGACGATTGAGAGATATTCATGGATCGCAAGAACAAGATTCCATCAGGGCTTCTATCCTCAATGCCCGAAGGTTGCAAGCCATACATGTCCCTGGAGGCCGAGCAGTTGTTGTTACAAGCAAGGGAAAGCCCCATCTTGGAGAGATGGGAAAAGGAAAGGGAGGCTTCAAATACAAGGATCGTTCGACTAGCAGCAGTAGCAGCAGTAAGAAGAGCAGCAAGAGCTCAAAGAAAGGAAAGGGTGGAAAAGGAAAAGGTGGAAAGGGAAAAGGTGGAGTTATCCACAACCCCATTCCTACACACCCTGTTCCTACCGGTACACACCCCGTTACCGCTCCTCCACTCACAAGCCCCACCATGGCCCCCACCATGGCCCCAGTTGATGCCATCAGTGGTGACATCCCAAACGAAGTCATCAGTGGTGACACCCCAAACGATGTCATCAGTGGTGATATCCCAAACAATGTCATCAGTGGTGACACCCCAAACGACGCTATCAGTGGCGACACCCCAAACGACGCTATTAGTGGTGATACACCCAATGCCGCTATTAGCGGTGACACCCCGAACGACGCTATTAGTGGTGACACCCCAAATGACGCTATTAGTGGCGATGATCCAGTCAATGGCGATCCTGTCAGTGGTGATGATGTCAGTGGCGATACTGGTTCCTCGGGGCAACTCGTCTTGAATTTCATCATGGTAAGTACAAGTCGCCGATTTTCATGACCTTTTCGTGCACAACTTTGCCTCTTATATTCTATCTGCCCTACTCTAAACCACAGGAAAGTACAGAGGTCAATAGTCTTGATGACCAAGCCAACTTCCAACTTACGACTACGCTAACCTTGAATGGCGACCTTTTCGATCTCATCGAGGAGGACGATGGAACATTTTCAAGAGGAAGCGCAAATCTTGGAGACTTCAGAGGTGTCTGCACAATTACAGGAGTAGAACACTACCTTTGCAGTTACGAACTTTACTTCCGAACCAGAGGTTCAGTTGGTGCTGGAGGTATGGCTATCAAGGGACCAGTCTCTGCTGCGGAAAGTGTAGCAGTCGTGACTGGTACATCTTTTGACTACTCGATTTACGATACTGGATCTGTGACTTTGTTCCAAGATCCAAACAACAGATGGCTCATTGCTCGCACAGAGCTATTCTTGCAAAACTCATAAAGTGCACTAGCTGTGGATGAAGCTGCCCATTTGCTTTTGTATCTATCTCAGAGCAGAGTGGCATCGGTTTCTGTTTTCCAGTAGCGTAAAACGTACCTTATATGATTCAAATTAGTTGATAAAAATACTATCACACTTGCTGTACCTAGTGCCAGGGTCTTCAGCCATCATCAACAAACCTTCGAACATACTGTACAGTAGCATTGGGTGGGTGAAGACTGCATAATCGACTGACTTTGACTTCAACTTCATCCATCATTGATGAAGTCTGTCTTTCTGTCTGTCCATCTGTCTGTCTGTCTGTCTGTCTTTCGATGGGTGGTTCTCCGTGTCACCCACCCCCCCCTCCGGGTCGTACCGTATGTAAAAATGTACTGGAAACTTAATTTTCTGATTCAGTCAGAGCAGAAGCAAATGCCAGTCACAACTAAATTGCAGGCTGAGTCACAATCCTCCGATAAATCCTAATCTATTTGCAAGCTGACAATCAATCAGCGTGGACTTCTTCTCAGCAGAAGAGCTGCGCTTGCAAATCAGGAGTACTAGGTACCATACAGTACCAGGATGAGGCTCTTGTTGATGTACTAGTTAGAATGGATAGGGTATAGGAACTACTGTTGAGACACCTCCAGGAGCGAAGCACAGCATAATCGTCGATGTGAACATTATTGAACACTGTTTGCCGTTCCCCATACTAGATCGTTCTTCCGTCTAAAGTTTCCAAGTGGCTGCTTGAAAATAGAATGCATAGTACCCTGCTGGCCTCTTCAGATTGATTCTTGTTGTGCTGCCTGGTGGTGTGCGTGATGCACCCACAAGAATGAATCAATGTATCAGGTTTTACAGACTACAGGTACGTGTACAGTAGAGTAGCTGAGAGAGATGTTCTTGTCTAGAACCCAAGTTTCTGGTTTTCAAGAAGAGTACATGTACTATTCTTTCCGACATCGGGTTTTCATGGGAACAAATATACGTTGAGCGTGTCTGTTCCGTTTTTACGACAGTGCAGATCATTCCGGACATAGTTTTCAATAAATGTGGCAGGAACCTTACTTATCAGTGCAAGATCGAAATGGCTGCACGATTCCTGATTTGCCAGTTTTCGTGAGAAGAAGAACAAAAAAAAATGCTATTTTTCCGAACTCACAAAAAAGAAACCATGGCCAAGTCTCTGCAATCGTACTTCAGAGCGTTAGCGACAGAGCTGAACGTTGACTTAGAACGCACTACAATACATCCGGACAATGCCCGAACAATCAAAGGGTCATTCGACGACTCAGTTTTCGAATGCCAACCTGACGAAAGTACTTCACGGTGGATGGAGTCTTCGTCCTCCTCAGACGTGTCGTTGAGTGTTCCCGGACGTCGTAGCAGTATAGACAACCTCCAACCATTTGACGATATACGAGCGACCACAATATGTCAACAGCCGGTGATAGGCAATACAGAAAGGTGGCTCCGGGAACTCCCGATGGAAAGCCAAGAACAAGGACTGCCCCATGATGAAATTCCCACTAGCGCCCAACGAGTGAGAAGTTTTGATGATGAGCTTCGTACTGATAGCTTCGAAGCTGACAGTGACACAGATGATGATATTCCTTTCTTGAACGGATATCGGTTCGGAACCGATGAGAAGCATCCTGCGTCAAACCTGTTGGCATTGAACCGAGAAGGTCTGATACAGTACCCACCAATGCTGTGTGAGATTGACAACCCCAAATATTTAATACATTGGAATGATGAAGACTCAAGAGAAGATACCAGTTCTAATCCGAGTATGCAAAATGTTGCATTTGTGAAGCAAGAAAACCTACTGACTTGTAAGAGCGACGTGGACCATATTGCTTCGAAGACAAGTAGGCCTCATTCACGGAATAGGAAAAGCCAGAAGGGACACGCTGCTGCTTTCGAGCCGGGCCTGGCTTCATGGATGTCCTTGGATCGAAAGGCAAGCTTCGAATAGATAGAAGATATCATTGTGTGTCTCAGTTTTATCTGGGATAATAGAACATAGAATGTGTTTAAAATTTTACAAGTGATGCATTAGAGTACTATATGGAAGACAACATCACACAGTTCAATGAATCAGCTATTCTTGTTCCTCTCTTTGCTTTGAGGCCCATCGATCAAGATACCGTTGCCTTGTTTTCGTCAATGCTGTATTGTTCAATCCGACATCTGATTCTTCGTCAAGATCCTTACTCGATGCTTCCACAATATCATGTTTGCTTGCCCATCGATTGATGACTTGTTGGCGTTGCCGAGACTGCATTCTCATTTCCGAAGAAGTAGCAGAGAAAGATGATAGCGTTGCGCTACCGCCCGAGTCAGAGACTTGGTCCTCATCAATCTTTTGAGTCCATCTGTTAGCTACATTAGTTCTGCGAACTCCAGGATCGTCTCGTGACTCGTAGGACGAAACAGATCCAATCGACTCTCTAGAAGCGCGTCTTGAAGAATCTGATTCCGAAGAGTGTCTGATCTTTCTAACCAAAGCTGTAGCATCTGCTATTTTCGTCGACTTTCTTGCGGATCGGCTTTCAATACTCTTGACGAGCTCCGACAGTCCAGTTTGTGCAGCATGCTCACTCGTTTCTCTTCTGGATTCAATCTTTCCAACAATATCACGACGGGATTCGCGTTCGTAAATCTGTTTCAACCTAGAATCGGGATTGTCGTATGAAATGCCCTTTGCGTAATCCTCTTTCGCTTTGTCGCCCACCATCTTTAGCATTTGATTCACCATCAGGACAAGTGACTTTCCTCCAATGCTGTCCTCTGAGGCACCAGAATGGTTGGTAATAATAGATGCATTCGAGACGGCTGAGTTTGTTGGAGACCGTGTATTATGTTGCTCCTGTTTTGGAGAAGTGGTGGAGGATGTGTGAAGCTTTTTAAATTGGGCATTCTTCAATCGTGCGTCTCTCCTCTTTTCTTGCTCCTCTTGCTTCCTCACCGCTTGCTCCAGGTTCTCAGCAAAAGTCGCTAACACTCCTAAGAGATTGCTGGTTGCAGCCTCTCCTCCTTTTTCGCAAAAGAAGTCAGAGAGTTCTTTGCAAGTCTTGACTGCCTCCTCATTCACCTTCTTTAGTTGATCGAAACCGCTGGTAGCCTCCGTCAAGAAATCCTCGATCTTGTTGACCGCACTGACCATGGTGTATCCATCGTCACTAGTGCTGCCATCTTGAGATTCAATTTCCTTGTCATGTGGTAATGAGGGTGTCACTGTCTCGGTCTTCGTTACAGGTCTGCGTTCCTCCACAGGTTTACCTCCGCCAATCACTGATGACAAGAAGCTCGTACGATTTGCCATCCATTCCGAAGATTCACTCTTCGTGTCATTAGAAGGAAGTTTCCCCCATTTGGGAATGTTTGCATCTTTTTTCATGAGTTCCTTCTCTTTCTTGCATTTCTGAAGTGCGCCACCGAGTCTTCGTACATCTGCATTGAGTTCAGAAATCTGTAGTTTGCTAGCTTCTTGACATTTCGGGAAATCAGAACTCAATCTCAAAGCCGACCGTTGGTTCCGTGCTTGGAAGATCATTACGACTAGGTCGAGAGCTGTTGTCTTTTTGTCGCTTCCCTTGGTTTGTGAGAGCCGCGAAAGAAAGTCAAGCTTGAATCCTGCAGCTTCTTCGCCACGTCCTTCATTCATTCTGTTTCCAATTTGACGGACCATCTCAAGTATATCCGGAAGCTTGTCACTATTCATGATTTGATTGCAAACATCGATGAGCATTTGGAAACTCTCCGCAAGAGCAAGTATTTCCAATTTGAATGATTCCATTGTGCGCATTACTTGGATCTTTTCTTCGATCCTCTTGATATGTGCGATTTGTCTGAACCAGATTTCAGCTGGTACCAATCGATTGTCTTCGCCGTTGTAGTTTTGAATTACTTTGATCTCTGCTGAAGCTGGCAATAAGTCTCTCATAAAGAGTGCTCTGTCACCAGTAATCTTGCCATGGGGGTCGACAAATTCAATAATTTTAGCCAGCTCTTGCTGCGACACATCATTGAAAGCTTTCAGCGTGATGGCTACATTGTTGGCCCGATTGAGATCGATCAACTTCGCCATGGTCTTTGTCTCTGTGCCATCCTTCTTCACAATCTTCTTGGTAGCAGCGTTCTTGTCTTCCTTCTTTTGAAACATTTCAAGATGCTTAGAGATGTCACTTGCGACATCGCTTTCTGCATATTCAGTGAGTGTTGCCTTATTCCAAACACTTTTTCTCAAACTATCGCCCGAGGTGAGTGGGCTCCAATGAAAGCCCCCTTTCATTCGTCGTTCTGGCGTCTTTTGGCCTCGTGTTGCGCCCTTGACAAACGATTCACCGAGAACAGCTACCATAATCTTCTCTGATATACCTTCAGTTTGCATTTTTCGTCGAATAGCATCTTTGGATATCTTCAAGGTTAACATCTTTCGAAAGGACGAAGCAATGGATTCTTCTTCATCCGTAAGCTTCGCCGCTGCCTTCTTGCCACCTCCAAAAGTGTTCACATCGACACCAAGTACACTTGCCATGATATTAATAGGAACGCCATCCTTTCTCAGTTTATGTTCAACTGCTTCTTTCGGCATCATTAGCTTCAGCATTTTCCTGTAAGGAGCAGCCGTAGCTTCATCCTTTGCGGACAGTTGCGATGCTGGATTTACCGGCTTCGAGACTGTTGTTGTTGGGGAGGACTTTTCTTCGCCGCCACCGATTACGGCAATAATAATCTTCGGATCAACGCCATCCTTCTCCATCTTGTGTCGCACTCCTTCTGCAGGTACCATCATTTTCAACATTCGTTGGTATGTCGCGGCGACAGCTTGTTCCGCAGCAGTCAATCCATCAGAGGAAGACACATTTGTAGACGAGCTTGACGAGGAAGTTTCGTTCTCGTCAAGCACAGAACTCATAAGTTTTGGATCGACTTGATCCTTTTCCATCTTATGCTTCACAGCTTCCATTGGGATTTTCAATTTCAACATTTTCTTGTATGAATCTACAATCTTCTGTTCCTCACTTGTAAGCTTTTTCACAGGCTCTTCGGATGAGATTGCTTCTTGATTGTCGCCAGAGATATCTGATTCGTCAGTGGATCGGGCCTTTATTTGATCAAGGAAAGACATGCCACCAGCTGCAGGCTTCGGTAGTGCAGGGACAACTGGCTCAATTGAGGCTTCAGTTGGAGCTCCAGCAGGCTTGAACTCGGATAGATTACTTGACAAGCGTTTCTTCTTGCGAAATTCTTCAAGCACCTTTTGTTCTTCTTCGCTGAGTTGTTCAACAAAGACCGATCCATCAGACTCGGCTACACTATCTTCATCGTCACTTCCATCGTCGCCATCATTCGCAACCTCGTGGAAAGCATTGGCGAATTTCATGCAGTGTTCTGAAGACTCGAAACAAAGGTCTTTGTGCTCCCCATTTGTCTGGAGGAGTTTTACCTTGTAGCCAGACATATCCAGCATAGCTGACTTGAGATCAGTGATTTCGAGATGCCAAATTATTGTGGGTTTAGGCTGATTCGGTGGACAGTCAATCTTCATAATTCCTTTTTCGCCAACAACTACCTTCAGTCCAAAGAAAGACTTCGACTCAGGACCAGGAGCAAGGGGAACACTAACGGTTCCATGAGATGACGAGTCAGTTGAACCACTTGATACGATTTCCTTATTATCAGAATCTTCAGCATTGCTCTTCTTGACAGCAGCTGGTTTGTCACTTTGCGTGGATAAATTCTCAGCCTTCTTCACAGGCGATGCTTCCTTTTGGGGGAATTCTTCAGCTTCCATATTTTCTTCGATCGTACTTGCAGACGGGGTTTTCGGCTTGCGAGGGGTCTTTGGTTTACGAACCACAAAGTGATGAATGTCGTCATTGTTTTGTATTTGCTTGTTTTGAACTTCACCAGACTTCGATTCTTCGGTACTCTTCTTCGGCTCTTCTTCTGCCTTTGCGACAACCTTTCGTAGCTTCACCTTAGCCCATGAACTTGGAATACTTGAAGCGGTTGATGAAGCGGGTGTGACTGCTCCTTTACTCGTCACGGTAGTTCGAGCTGTTCCCATCTGGCCGTTCTTCGAATCAGTTTTGGTGGTGGTCGGGGTCATGGAACGTAGCTTCACACCCACCCATGATGCACCAGTCTCAGAATCGCTTTCCATTAGGGGGTCGCTTTTTGCTTTCTTTGCGTTGGCAATAGCTTGGGCTTTCCAGGAAGGAATGGTATTCGATTCACTTTTGGAGCTTGCCAGAGCATCACTCTTTGGAGTCGAATTCTTCGTTTCGATACTCTTTCGTGGAACAATCTTTGCTGCCCTCGATACTGCACTCGCAACTGGATCGTCCCGTGGAAACATCTGAGTCATGTTACCCTGAGGCAATTGTGGAGCGACATCCTTCGCTTCTACAGATTTCGGAGCTTCTGGTGTAGAAATGTTGATGGCATCTGGGTTTGACTTTGACACTGTTTTCTCTGCCACTGATTTTGGAGAGATCCTCGCTTGTTTCTTTGTTTGGTCAGAATTATTTGAGAGAGCTGCAACTGGCACCTTGGGTGGACGCCGAGAAAATGTAGACGACAATATGCTTCCAGCCTCAGAAATATAATCGGATTCAACGTAAGATATACCTGCATCTGAAGATGCTGCGTAGGAGGAGACTTCTGATTCGGAATCAGTCATCATGAGCGCCTGAGATGACTTTTCTCCAAGACTGGCGTGGACATTGTGTGACAAAGCGTCATCAAAGTTGCTTGTGTCAGGTTCTTCATCAACAGTAGGAGCAACACAAAGTGCTCCATATCGACCCACACCACTTCGATTGAGTACATGCTGACCAAAAGAAGAAGTCGCAGACTTTACGGCCTTATCATTTGCAAGCTGAGTACCTGCTTCTGACTCGGCCCCATACTCATTCTTCAAATAGGTACTCATACTGGCAACAGCAAGCTTTGTCGTGTCATCGAATGCTTTCGAACCATTTCCTTGCTGTAGTGGACGAGTTTTTCTGTTTCCTTTAAAGATAGAATGGAAACTCTCCCAGAGCTGAGTGTGTGATCCAGCAACTTCTCCCTTGAGGGTATGAATGAAATCTCTGTATCCTTCCGGTTCGGGATTAAAGATTTCGGGAGCGTCATAAGCAGTATCATCATACATTGTTTCTCCTTGTTGCGAGGGGAACACAGCAGATATCTCAGAGCCAGTAGAGCTGGAAAGCTTGATTTCAATTTCGTCCTCAGTTGTCACTTCTGGAATTGAACCGATTCCGGATCTGGCTTGAGCAAGCTTCCCGCTTTCCGCAGAGTCATGGCTGTGTCGTCCAGAAAGGACACTAACCTCCGTTGTTTGTCTCCGGATGTCAATGTTTTCTGGCTTAGATTGGACGCTCATGTCGGCTGAACCAGCATCGGCCAAAGCACAATTCGATTCTGATTCATTTCGGGGCACACTCGCTCCGCTATCGTCAAAAAGCATCTTTCGAGAAGGAGAACTGTGGGAATATGTCTTAGAATCTTCGAGGTCCTTGTCGAGAGACTTTCTTGGGCTAATGATGGAATCAGGCTTGTTGTGGAACCGAGCCTTCGCATTGCGCGAGGAAAACCTTGGAGAACGGCTCGACTTCTTCTTGAGCACATTCCCAAAACCAAACTTCGAAAATGAATGGGTACTTCCCGATCTTGAAGAAGTGTCACTTCTGGGTGATCCAATGCACTTTTCTCTAGGGGACGACTTTTCATGCTTTGGTGACATCATTTTTTTCATGCGCGATGATGATTGCTTTAATAGTCCATGTTTCCTAGGGTTTGAAAGAGCGAGCTTTTTGTTTCGTGCTCGTTCTAGAACTTTCCTCATAATCGCTCTATCATGAGACGTCGACGAAGATCCACTACTAGCAGAAGATGCCGCCTTCGGCTTGGCCCAGTTTCTTTTCTTCTTTGCCTCATCAACAGAAAACTCAACTGATGAATCATCTTTCGATTTTGATGGATTTGAGGTACCAGTATACGATTTCATCATCTTCCGTAGCAGTGCTTTTTGCTTATCATCGGTTGCAAGCGAAGTTAGATCAGCTCCCTTTCCCTTTGCTTTCTTTGGTCTGTTCACTCTGCGTGGCACCATTGCTGGTTCCTGTTGAGAAGATTGTGCCGTCGATCCGCTTGACGAAGATGCTGCCTCAGATCTGGATCCATGATAACTCTCGCCACTATCATCATAAAGCCTTTTGGCCTGACCCGAAAGGCCTTGACCATAGAACTGCACCGCTGGATTTGCAGGGTTCGCGTGATTTGCGCGTAAACTTGCAGATGCCTGTGACATCGACGCAGAGGCAGCAGAATGCGACTTGGAAACAGCTGAGTTCGCCGATGAAGAAGAATCACTCCATGTTGTAGGAACGGTTTGTTCATCACTCCAGCTATGAGGATTATGATTCATGCGAGGAGTTGGGTCCCTCTTGGCGCCACCGTAGTAGTTGCTGCTCTTGAGTTGTTGAGACGATTGTAAACCCGTTTCTTTTGCGCGTCGTCTGGCTTCTAGAAGCTGCATTTGACGATCTGACAATTGTATTTCACCTTGTGACGATGATTGTGAAACTATTGGCCCAGTATAGGGCCTGCCACGAGACGCCATGGCTTTTGATTACTGAAGATGAATTTATCACTACAGTATGGTACTGTAAGTACTTTGACTTGACTTCCTTTTTGAGAGTTGAGAGCAACTTTCCCGTTGCACTGGAGCTCGGCGTGCGCACACGACACCCTTTTTATTAAGTATTTTACGCCAGCACAACATACCGTTGGTCAAAAATAAAAACGAGAAAAAGGTACTGTAAAAGTCTAAAAATCAAATCGACTCACTCAGCGTCTGTGACGTTCCGGTCATCGAAGAAAGACACCCGGAGATACATGGATAACACAACTACTGTATGAATCCCACGATGCTCGACACTCCTTTGTGCTGGCCCTTGTCGTTACACTAGGCATCCAGCATTTCAAGAGACTTTCAAGATTACAACCCCAGTCCAAAGACGTCGCACTGCAACATCTCATGAAAATATGAGCATGGAAAGTTTTGATAGTCTGAAAAGAGAGGCGACAAAGCTCGAACGTCAGCTTGAGGATAAGGTGTCTCGATATCAGCAGGTACGTTGGAGTTGCATTTGTTTGTTTCGGCCTTAGGACCGGCGGAACTGACGGTTGCTCTGTTTCAGCTGGTTCAAACAATACCGGACACGTCAAATGATTTGCTCCTGGCGGAATCAGGCATGCACTCGACAGAAGATGAAGCAACTCTAAGACATGATATTCAGCGTACGCTGACCAATATGCAGGACTTGATCACAACAAAACTTCAACCTACAGCAGACCAATCCAGATCACAGAATCCATCCTTACTAGTGAAACGATACCGAGAGATTCTCTTTGATTTGACAGGTGATTTTGAAAAGTCGCGACAAGCTCATGTTCGTAAGCAAGAACGCGCCAAACTAATGGAGGGAGCACGCACAAATTCGCAAAACGACAATGTTGATCCAGCCATGGAACATTTGATGCGAGAAGGACGCCACATTGGAAATTCCTTGAATGCAGCAGCGTCGGTGATTAATCAAGCATCAGAGGTTAGATCCGATCTTCGCACCCAAGGACTCTCTCTGGGGCGTGTTCAAACCACCATGGGGGTGATTGCTTCAAATATTCCTGGCTTGAATACACTTGTGGAATCAATCAGACGTAAGCGATCGAAAGATGATAAGATTCTTGCTGGAGTGATCGCTTCTTGCATCCTCTTCACTCTGTGGTATCTATTCGGCTGAAGATTGCATATTGGCCCGTAATTTGAAGAAGTTTAACTAAGGAGGCTATCGGAAAACTATCATAGCAATGTTATCGTTACATTGATTTCCCACTCTAACACTAGGCAATTATGTTCTATCCCCGATTGCATCTGAACACAAAACTCTTGTACGATACAAAACCCCTGAAGTCAATCAGCTTCTAAGCCAACCCAAGCATCTTCAGACGCTCAGCATTTCGAGCCACACGCTGGGCTCGAAGTTGTTCGTATTCGCTAAGCTCAACTTCATCTTCGCTTTCAGATTCATCAGCTGCTCGGTTTCCTCGCTTTTCTCGTTGCAATTCCTTGACATCGAGTAGCTCAAAGGGCTTCAGATTGGAATCGTAGCAGTACACATGATTTGCAATGATAATGCCAGGAGACTGATTCACTACCATTGGTTCAATAGCAGAAACATGGCCGGATCGCATCAGGCCTCGGAGCACCCAACGTATCGCTGGGACGAGAAACTGATCACGAATCTCCCAGGAGACCTCATCCGGTCCGATAGGAACAACTCTTCCCAAGTAGGGCGGGAATGACCCATTCATGTACTCCCCAACACCCTTTTCGTTGGTCGTTGTGATCATGGAGGCGTGTGTTCGATACAGTGGTGCGTAGAATTCTTCATGGCACTTCTCTTGATGCATTTCCACGTCCAAGCGAGTTTGCGGCAGAGGTGTCACATCTCCACTTACGCTGTGTTCCTCTTCCACCGACGATAAGAAACCCACCTTCAAGTCTTTGGCTGCGGATCGTCTAGTAGTCGGTTCGGCATGGGCACGAGTGGATCGTCGCAATCCAGCAACCTCCGTTACAGCAACCTCTTTCTGCAGTTCCAGGAGCTCGGCAATCTCTTGAGAACGCTCCTCGTTAGACTCTTCCACAACTTCCTTATGTTGTTGCGATGGCCGACAACTCCATTTTGGCTGCAGGGAAAAAGAAGACACTTCCATGTTGATTGGAAGATTTGCAAACGGTCCTCTCAGATCATTTGCCTCTCGGAGCGTTGCTTGAAGACGAATGGCGTTTTCAATTGCTCGGGAGTGATATTCGTCCTTGACCATCTTTCGCTTTCCCTTTCGTTTTCTCTTTCGTCCACCATCGTATTCGTCATCTTCGTCACTTTCGTATTCATACATGTCGACATCGGAGCCATCATCAACATAGACACTTCTTCTCTGTCGCGAGCGTCCACCTCCACTTTTTTGGTCAGCTGTAAAAGAAATGTCAGCGATTTTCTTGAGCACATTCCTTTTCACTGCCGATGCTGCGACATGGATCCAATCGTCCGGAGGATTGAATGTCATTGCATTGTCAAAAATAAGTTCGACATCCTTTCGAAAGGGGCCATTCAGCATACGAGCGGTTGGTGATTTCAATGACGATTGACCTGGGGGGACGCTTGAATAGTGTCCGTTTTCGAGCTTCTCCGAGAGGGTGGATACGTCCATCGGATTCTTGATGACGGAAAAGTAATTTGGGATGTTCAGTGCAACAGGATCTACTGGCTCCAAGAAAGGACCGATTTTGCTTTGTCTCTGTAGGTACTTCACAATGTTCTGACATTCTCTGAATGCGTCTGTTCCAGGGTTATAATCGAAGTGTTCGATCGAATACCATAGCGTCGAGCCAGAAGGTTGGCAGATGAAGGTAGACGTGTCAGCACGGACATCCAGGGTTGCCCAAAATGATGCCTTTTGTTCCCCTCGCGATGCATCGGGGAGGAACAAAATCCTATGCTCAACATCATCGTCATCGAGAACAGTGTCATGTCCGATGATTCGGCCCCCGATTTCTTCGTCCTCAGCTGAATCCATCCCTTCATCAATTTCTAAAGGAACCAGAGAAACTTTGTCCCCAGAGCCACCAGAAAATGGGTTTCCATCAGCCGCTTCCGCTTCAATTCTCTTTTTCTCGATTTCTGCAGCCTTCAGCCCAGCTTTCACTTGTGCCTCCGTCAGGAGTACCATGTCTCCTTCATACGTGTAGTCAGCACCAGGTGGAGCTGCTGCTTCCGCACGGAATCTCATTCTCCGCCTCATCAGAAGAGGGTTCTCGGCAGCTTCTTCTCCTTCTGACTTGACACTCTTGGAGTAGTCACGTATCCGGAACCATACGCACTCGGTCATGTCAGTTGTCCCTTCTACAGCTTCTGGACGACAGAGTAGTTTGCCAATGAAATCGTGCCCTTCGGTGAACCATTCGACGGAAGATTCGTCCTCAAATTGGGAACCGTCCAAAGCATCCGATGAGGTCAGACGTTCGTCCGCTGCAGTGGCAATGATTGCTAAAGGGGTTTCTGCCAAATTTCGGAGGATGAGTTGACGAAGACGCAATTCAGTCACGTGAAGTTCCTTCATATAGGCAACAAGTGCCTTCTGTGCGTCTGACAATTCGTAAGGTTTCTCGTCTTTCGTTTCATCCTCATCCTCATCGTCATCCTTTTCTTCTTCAATTGTCAGTAATTGAGTTTTGGAAAGCTCTTTCAAGGCTTCCGAGTCACTTAGGTCCGTTGATGTTTCCAATCGTACAATCCGGTTTTGCTTCCAAAGTAGCTTTCCAAGGCCAGCACGACATCTTCGGATTGGATCAGACGAGTCTTCGGCAACTACTTGTTGAAGACCCAATAGAGTTTGACATTGATTCGCCTTGATCAATCGGAGCAACGCATCCATGAGCTGCTTCTGTGTCAGTTGGGATTGGTTGCCGTAGAATACACCCTCAGAGGAGCCAGGGTTGGCTGCTCTTCGTGTACGGCGACGACCGCTTGGTTCTTCCTCGGCAATTTCTAGCTTTTTCGCAAGAGTTTCGTCATCGTCCTTGGTTTCCATGGCACTGGACGAAGCCGCTTCAGTTTCAATAGCACCCGATTGGCCATACTTCCCCTTGGCAAATTCTGAAATGGTGTCAATCCAAGACGACCAATTCGAGCAGCCTTCATTGATACCTCGGAATCGCCACTTTTCCCATGCCTTTTGCTCCTTGAAAATAAGTTCCTGCTCCAGCAATTCTTCCTGTCGCTTCGATTGGTGTGACTTTTCTTGATCACCAACAACATCCAAGACGAACTTGCAACGAGAGAATGTCTGTGCATCGAGGTTCTTGAGGTCGCCAAAGGATTCGCCGGAAATACATTTCACCACAACCTTTCCGACTGGAAAGTCTGGGGCCTCTTGATCAAGAACAAATTCATCAATCGACTCCAGTTCGGATGTCGCCACGCCGTGTTCGGCAGCTCTCTTGTTATGCTTGACTCGAAGAATTGCCTCGCACAAGGCCTCTTGAACCATCTCTCCCGAAATGACTCTTGGGCGAGCCAGATGTTCCAAGATGGATTCGAAACCAGGTTCGAAGTATGGATTTTCAAAGAGAATGGCATCTTCAATGTCTTCTTCCTCTTCTTCATCATCGTCACTGCCATGGACGGGGCTGAGACGCCCACGTTCCACCTCGACACCTTCAAGCTCTTCGTCGTCCTCGTCCTCGACATCCATGTCATCAAAGTCTTCGTCGTCATCCTCTTTCGACTTTGACTCTGGAATGGATTCTTCCTCTTCCAAAGTAGCCTGGGCTTCTTTTTCCTCATCATCTTCGGTGGGTTCTTCCTTAGGTTCCGGTTCGGTAGAATGCTCGTTTTTTTCTTTCTTTGCTTCTTTCGTTGGAGAAGCAGACTTCACCTTGACTGGTCCTGCCTGTTCTCTCTCTTCACCTTTCTTGGATTCGTCTTCTAACTTGTGCAGGAGCCACATTGCCACTCGACCTCCACGTTGGACTGGGTTTGGATGATTGATTTGATCATCGGCTGGTTTGGTCGGTTGCCGACTGGACCGACGCGGACGCCCGGGACCTTCAATGACTGGTGGTGGTGGTTTCTTAGCTTCGAGTAAGCTCCAGGCCCATTCAGCGCCTGCTCGCACTCGCTGTGCCAAACTAGCCGGGGTGAACTGAACACTGTTGGAGGATTGTGAAGGAGTTGTATCAGTTGCGGTAGGTGCTTGCAAGTAGGAGGATGGATTCTTGGTATAGTACAAGGGAGGGTGAATATTCTTTTTGCCCCGACCACCTTTGGACGACGACGATGACGATTGTGCTGGGTTCTCCTGTTGTTCTTGTAAGAGGCTTTGTAGTGCTTCTTCCAAGGCAGCATACACCAGCAATGTTGCCATCAAGTCACTGTTTACGAGAGAATGGACAAGGTGGTCCCGATGGCGTTCTTCAATTGCACTCAATGCTGGTCCAGGCGCAGCTTCTACTTCGGCACCATCGGTGGCTGCATTCAATTCATCTAGTGTGTATTCCTCTTCGATGCGTACTCCCGGTGCTGCAAACTCCACTTTCCAGCGCGGAGGCAGTCTTCCAGATGGCTCTTGATAGGCGACAACCTTTCCCTCGAGCGTTGACGGGTATCCAGAGGGTAAAAGCATCTGCTTTTCCATCGTTTTGCCAACATGGGGATCCTTGGGTCCACTCGGTTTGATGTCTTTTGTTTCAGGAGAGCTAGGCTTGGAATCTACATCATTACTGACCGGCTCGTCCGTTTCGTCATTATTATCCTCTGACGACTTGGCATCTTCAGCAGTGGTTTCTCCTTGATTTGAATCGTCCTTGTCGCTGCTCTTGGCCTCATTTTTGTTGGCATTGGAGGTTTCTGATGTTTCCTCATGAGCCTCATCCGCCCCAGCTTCGTCCGGAGGTCCCTCAGAAGTCGTTTTGTCAGCTTTTGGATCCTTTTTGTCCTCTTCTGGGGGGATTCCACCATTTGAATGGCCCTCAGTTGCCTTCTTGTTATCCATTTCCGCTTCTTTCTGACTATCAGCCATGGTCTAATTTCGCTCGATGACAAAGTCAGATTCGTTTACAGCGACTGTTGTGGCACTTGAGAGGCTGTTTCTGGCTTCTCTGCAATCCTCGGCAATTAGACTAACAGAGGGAAACAATGGATAGCAGTTTGCAAAGGCTCTGAGTGACAAATATATGAGAAAGGACACCTGTACACGACAATCATCAGGTGCCGACAATTTCAATTGAAAGGAAACACAATAGACAGTGGAGCGGGTGAGGTACAGACGTTCGATTTTTTCTTTATTTTATTTTAAAATGCTTGAGCCAAAAGGTGAAGTTACAAGCAGATGTTGAAACATGCAGATAAATGAAAACCGATTCCAAAGTATCCAGGGAAGTCTAAGCTCTAGATCGGTAGAGTGCCGTTGTGTCTGTGGCCGTGATAATTCCGAACGTAATTCAGTTCTTGGAACTTTACCTGTACCCGCTGTTAGCTCTAGTCTGCAAGCTCCGGTACCAGGCCTTTACAAAAGCGTGAAAGCATTTATCAAAACTATTTACACTTTCAATGAATAAAGCAATTCAATACTGTACAATTTTTAAAGCTTCTTCTTGAGAGGGGTAGGAGAGTTGACTACCTCGATTCAAGATTTCTTATTTCCCAACCTCTCAAAAAACTCATTATCCCGACCTCTGACACCCAGGCACAATAATGATGTTTACAAGCAAGCAATCATAATAAGAATGCAGGTAAATGACTACCTCTTCCAAGGTAATGAGGGAGAGCGAGCACCGAAAAGTGTCAAGAGACTGATTGTTAATCCGGGCATTCAGGTGTTGCCTAATGAATTGTGTTACAATTGTGAGCGTTTGCGGGAAGTCACAATGCCTCAGGGATTAATCAAGATCGGCTCCCGGGCGTTTGGTTTGTGCTTCAGTTTGCTGGCAATCGATATTTGTAGCACTGTGGAATCCATTGGACAAAGCTCGTTTTGGAAATGCCAACTTCTGGCGAAAATAGATTTTGAACAGCCATCATCTTCGCCACATCAGCTAAGGTCGATTGGGCGACATGCTTTCCGTTATTGCCTCTCACTACAAAGAATCAAGGTCCCGTCGTCGGTGAATTTGATTGGCATGTGTTCCTTCAAGAGCTGCGACGGCTTGGTAGAAGCAATCTTATCATCAACGTCCATCAAGGAAATTCCCAGCTGGGGTTTCGCTCACTGTCGCTCTCTGCAAAGTTTGAGCCTACCAAGCTCATTGGAGCGTATTTGTGACAGTGCATGTATTGACTGTACTTGCTTGGTGACAGTGATGGTGCCTTTGGGTGCACAGCCGATCGAGATTGAAGCCGGTGCCTTCTATCGCTGCAGATGTCTTGCAAATCTTGTGCTTTCCCAAGGGTCAAATGCATCAGAAAACTCGTTTGATGGATGTGCACTATTGCGAGATCGCTTTGGTAAAAGAACAGATGCTATTGTCGCTGCTATGATAAATAGATTTGACGACTTTCCAGTACATAAGCTTTGTTATGATCATTACTCGACAACCGCTCATGAGCTCCGACGGTGCTGGACCGAGAACAAGGAGGAGATAGACGCATCGATGGTAGATGAGTTCGGAATGACACCTTTTCACGTTCTCTTTTCGACTACCGAGCCGAGTGGAGAACTGTTCGAAGTCCTTCTAGACAAGTTTCCATACCATGTTCTCAGCTGGAAAGACGCCAATGGCAAGGTGGCAATGGATTACTTGGTCTCCAACTGGACCGACACATCTACATCTTTGCTTGACATGACACTTCAAAAGTGGATTTTTTGTCGATTGGAGCGCTGGTGTGCGAAGTGTTGGAGAAACGTAATGATTCCACTGGTGAATACCCTTCTAGCTGAAGAGGACAAGGGACGCAGGATGACTGTGTTCATTGAGATTTGCTCAATCTTGAAAAAATACGAAAATGTGGAAGCCACGTCGATATTGGAGATGACCTTGTGGAAAAGGCATCTCAAACGTGGACGCAGCAATGATGGTACTAAACGGCAAGCTCTAGACCGAGAAGAGTGCCGGTGTGTCTGTGGGTCTGACGTTGTAATTCCGAATGTAATTCAGTTCTTCGTGGGCATCCATCAATGAGTCCCAACACTACTGAGTTGTATTGATGGAAGTAAGAGTATTCTATGCTTTATGATGCAAATAACTATTTTCCTCGCTGCTATATTCTATACAACTAGCTATACCAATGTTTTAGTCTGTCTCCAGATTATGGCTCCTCCTGAGCTCTTGTTTGTGATATCTCCTGTTTTTTAATCATTCTTTTCACATTCCTCCAGGTCGGGAACCAGCTGGAACCCCTGTCAAGACACCCAATCCTGGTTTCAAAGTACGTGCCAATCGACCCAATGGCGGAGGCTTGATGGCCGACTCTGGAACGTCACGGATGTAGCACACTTTTCTCGTTTCTGGATCCAATTCATAAAATGAAATTCCTTTAATGGCATCCGTTTGGCCATTCAAGCGAACTTCCCAGGTAAAGCAAGTACTATTGACTCCATCACAAAACTTTTGCGCCTTGAATTCAATACCAGGAAAGGAAAAGTCTTCGATGAATCCTTTCACTTCTACTGTTCCCTTGAGTACTTCATCATAATTGAAATCACGGTAGATGATGGTATCCGAAAACAATCTCAAACTTTCTTCGACTTCTCCTCCTTGGACTTCCAAATACAAGTACTTTGCCACTTCATTGGCAGCAGTTGGTGACCTTTTAGTATATTTTGGCTTTGGTTTTTCCTCGGCACCCTTGGTGACTGCCTTTAGGAGTTCTAGTGTCAAATCTCCAGGTTTGTAGATTGGCTCGGGAATCTCTTGGACGAATTGGATCTTTCCTTCACTATTCAACTCGACAAAGGTTGTGCCTCGAAGACCCTCTTGTTCTCCGGCGACCCAAGTCCAAGCATAGCCGCAAGCAATATTTCCATCACTGATCTTGTCAATGCGAACGTCCCCTTGTTGTTTGCGCTGATTCACCTTGGCAACCATGTGACCAACAACTGCCTGAAAATTGCAATAGTTCAATTTGATGAATTAATGAATGAATCAATGTCCAACACTCTCCCCATCACTCCTACACGTACCGCTTTTCCAACAAAGGGACTTGGTTCGTAACAGTCATTGTAGACAACGTCATCGGCGCAGGCTTCTCCAAAGGCCAAGGCACCCACTTCGCTAGCAAAACACTTTTTGTTTTGGATCAAATCTTGCATTAAATCTCTAGCTTGACAATTGCGACCCGTCAATGGTAGCGATGGAGACCCTTTCAAGAAATCCTGCAAGAAATTTGCTGATAAACTAGTACTGGAAGAAACTTCTTTGTTGTGTTCTCCGGAAGTGATGGTGGTGATTCTTCCAATCGATGATGCAGAATTGGGAAGGAAGGCATTCGTCACTGCGATCGAACAAGCATAGAGGGATATGTAAAGGGGGGCTCTGGATAGAATCATTGTTGTTGACAATCTAACTCGTACAGTACATGTACCTGGTACTTTTGTGTCTTTCACACTGAAGGTGCAAAGTTGAACAGTACAGTACTGAAACTATTATAGTCACGTCACGCGTAATAATATATTGCAATCCAAAGGAATATTCGACTAGTCGGAACAGCACGAGTTTTGAACTTCTTAGCAAGAACTACGATGACCGCGCGCGGCCAATGGGATGCAGTTGAAAAATTTACCCGCTCTAACCCCCGGACCTATGTGCGTGGGTTCAAAATCTCAAACGCGCCCGTCGGGACGTAGTGTTCAAATTCAAAGCGTGACAAGAGTCATGCAAGGGAGTCAAACCAAGAGAAGCCGTCAATTGGCATTTTGAGAATTCCAAATTGTCACAATCCACACAGACATCAACAACGATATAACAATATGAAGTTCCTTTCAGTGCTATATTGTGCCTGCCTCCTCTTGGATGCTTCTATCGAGGTTGCAGCGAGAACGAACAATGGAGGCAACCTTCGCACTATCGAAATGGTGAGTGACGACGAAACGACGACGACAACGACGATGGCAGTCACACTGCAAATTTATCCGATCGGAATCAACGATTACCTTGCACGTAATACTCACAGTGTTCTTCTCCATTCAACTACTCTACTCTGCTCTTTGAATAGCGAGCCAATGGCGACAGAAACTTGGCCGGCAAGGGCAAAGGCGGCAAGGGCAAAAATAACAAGATGGACACGACGACCTCAACCAAAGACGGAAAAGGAAAGGGCGGCAAAGGAGGAGAGACATCCAAAAAGTCTTCCAAGTCGTCCAAGAAGTCGTCCAAGAAGTCGGGCAAGGGAGGCAAAGGAAACGTTTCAATGAACCCATCATCAATGCCCAGTCAAATGCCCAGCCAAATGCCTTCCGCTTATCCATCTGCCATGCCTTCGGGGTACCCATCTGCCATGCCCACCAAAACTCCTATTGCAGTCAGCAATGACGCAATTAGCAATGATGCTATCAGCGTTGACGAAGGTCCAATCAGTATCGATGAAGGTCCTATTAGTGTGGATGAAGGTCCTATCAGCATGGACAATGGAAGTTTCGACGACGCCAACAATTTGAGTGTCGATGATGGAGATCGGGCCGGAACTACCCCGCCAGCGGGTGGCACTATCTCTTTTCCGACCAGTGAACCAACGGCAGCGGCAACAAAGGCCCCTGTCGTCCGACTCACTAAGAACCCAACCAGATCTCCAACCATTGATCTAAGTGATCGCACTGAGGTTCCTACCAGTGAGCCAACGGCAACTGCTGCCACAGAGGCTCCCATCGCCCGACTCACCAAAGATCCAACTAGATCCCCAACTGTGGACCTAAGTGATCGTACTGGAACAGTCGGGCCTTCTTTGATTGTCGTGCCAACGGTAGAACCTACCCTGGTCCCCACAAAGACTCCAACCGTCGCACCGACAAGGACTCCCGTCTCTTTGCAACCAACTCAAACACCAACTGGTCGTCCTACTAGAGCTCCAACAGGAACTCCAACAAAGACGCCTACCACACAATCGCCAACCGCTTCTCCCACCAGCAAGCCGACAAAGACTCCCACACCAACGGTCACTCCAACCAAGGCTCCAATTGTAACGGTACCAACAAGGGCACCCGTCACTCCTCGCCCAACTCCAAGCCCAACCAAAGCACCTACCAAGGCACCCACAACGACCCCTACCAAGAGCCCAACCATGGTCCCGACTGAAGCGCCTGTAGGTACTAGCAGTCCGACCGTGACGGATCGTGTGGGAGGTGACGACGGCAACATTATTCCTCTGATTGCCATTCTCCAAGGACGATTGGAGCCCAACTCTTACTTTGGCGGCGTCGAATTTGAAGATCCAAGCTCATATCAATACAAGGCTTTGCAACGCGTCGAACGACAAGAAGGTTCAGAGTCTTTAAGCGCTCAGAAACTAATCCAATATTATGTGTTGTACTGCATCTACTATGCAACTGGAGGATCTGGATGGGTGACTGCTGATGGGTGGTCACAAGATGACCTTGCCCCCTGCGGTGGATTCTTTGGTGTTTCTTGTGATGACGACAATGTGATTGTTGGAATTAATCTATATGACAATGGTCTCAGCGGTCAATTTCCTCCTGAGGTTACACTTTTGGCATCTGATGGTTACCGTTCGACTGGCGCTGGCAACTTGAGAAGTCTTGACTTATACTTGAATACTGGTCTCGGCAATGGAAACGATAGTCACTGGGTATCCGAATTGGGAAGCTCTCTCAGTAAGTTTTCTCTATTTCGCCATTGGACGTACTTCTATGAATCCTTCTCTCATGCACTTTTTCCTTTCAGAATACCTGTTCATTGGAAAGACTGGTTTTGGAGGATCCATTCCAAAGCTACCATCCGGAATCATTGAATTTGATGCGTCTCATACTCAAATCAACGGTGGTCTCGTTGCATCCAACTTTGAAGGCTTGGATCACTTGACATGGTTGCTTCTTGATGGATGCACATTCCAGACGTCCATTCCAACCGAGTTTGCTCAATTGCCAAGTCTCGAGTATTTCTACATTAGTGATGCTCAAATCACTGGAGATTTGTCCTACTTGGAGGGAATGCCAAAATTGTTTGAGCACTTTGCCAGCAACAATCCAAATCTTGGAGGCGCACTCTACAGCTTCATTGGTGACATTCAAACACTTGGGTCGCTCAACTTGGCAGGCAACGGCCTGGAAGGAACCATTCCAGCGTCGTTTGGCAATCTTGACAACCTCCAACAACTATGGCTCAATGACAATAGCTTGTCTGGTCAAATTCCAGCAGAACTGAGCGAACTGATTGCCTTGCAAACCCTTGAGTTGCAAGGCAATAACTTGTCGGGAGATTTCCCACAAGCGATTTGCGAAATGAAAGATCCTGGATATTCATTGAAAAAACTTGGTGCGGACTGTTCCGTGCACAAGTGTGAATGTTGCGATTGCTGCAGCACCGAGTTTTGCCAAGCCCTGTAACAGGATTGGCATCATCGTCTAGAACTGTCCAAAGTGATGATTCATTCTCTTTCTTATTCTGTTTCTTGGAGAATTGTGCCTGAATAAGAGGGAGATAGGATGGCAATTCGTTCTTATCCTGTTTACAAACCAACAACCGTCTGTGGACAAGAACCAATTGCTACAGTAGTCCTATTCTAAGATGTTCATAAATACTTGCTATTTTCATTAAATTCCAAAATCTCTACAGTATGAATAGGTAGTGAATAGTAGGTATACTTTATTTTACCCGTCACTGGTCCTGCGGTATCCAGCACTTTTATCCTGTGTTATCTGGATCATTGTAATCAATCTTACAATCGAATGAGTCAAAGATTGCACATCAACACCTGCTACCGTATGCCATCACCCTGCCATGCCCATCACACATCAATAATCGCAACCATTAACCGACGTGTCTGACATGAGAGTCTTCCAGCTTGCAACTTTATTTTTGGTATCAACAACACCAACAGCCTTTTCCTTTGTGCCACAAAGCGCTCGAACCCTCACTGATGTTTCGCTGAGTGCCAAGAATAATAAGCTATCCCAATATGACCCCTTTCATCTGGACCATCACGAGACGACCTTATTGGAGCCAAACATGAAAATAGGTGATTCTGCGGAAACCAAGGCGCTAGCACTGGGAGCTCTTGCCATGATTGGAACTCCTGCATCTGCCTCTGCAGCAACCGCCTTTACTGCCACCGCCATTCCCGGTGCCTTGGCAGCCTATGGTCACTATGCTTCTCTACTGGGAATGTTGGCATGTGTCATGATTGAACGACTTACCATCAAACCAAACATGTCGGAAAGGGAAGAGGATTTCCTTGCTGCCGCTGATATTGCCTTTGGCTTTTGGGGATTACTCATTACGTATACTGGATATTTACGTGCGACCGCCTATGAAAAGGGATTCGATTTCTACTCCCACGAACCACTCTTTTGGCTGAAGATTTGTTTCCTTGGTATCTTTGGAGCATGTAAGATTGACTGACATGTTTGATCCTGATCATTGGATCCGATTGCAAGTGTACTAATACTTTTTCCCTTTCCTGCTGTTCCAGCTTCATTTTTCAACACGACCATTATAGTCAAGAGAAGCATTGCCAAGCGCAATGGTGAATTTGAACCCATGAGCGAGGCCCTCGCACAACGAATGATCAAAATCTGCAATGCCGAACTTTTCGCCATTGGCATCATTCCCTTGACTGCAACCTTCATGGCTCGTGGAGTTTTGTATAGTGATTCCATCCCGTGGCAAGCCGAAGCAGGCTTGTCGGCTGCTGTCTTTGTCGGTCTTAGCTATAAGTATCTCAATGAAGCTTTCACGTTTGAAGACTAATGTAAAAGATTTGAATTGAATGGATTGGTGGGCATAGCATAGAATTTTCTAATTCTATTTTAATAGATACAGTAGGATCCAATTGATAGAAGAGTTCCTTGTGGATAACTTCAGTTGAGTTCCTGTAGCAGAGCATGCACTATTGGTGGCTCTATGATCCCCATCGTGTGGAGGATTAGCGAAAGGCACAGCTTGACAGAAGCATTTGACCTGCAAGAAGCAAGCTTTTGTGTCATTCTGCAAGCTGCTGTAGCAATGATGGTATGGAGTGAGTCAAGCACAGATGCAGACTTTTTTCTCCACTTTCGAGTTCCATGTTCTCTTGACATGATCGGATGATGAGGACTTGATCCCTCGCTGGTTGTGGATAGTCCTTCAGTGATGTAATATCGTTGAGGAGTTAATCAGTTGTAACCAGCAACCCAATGGGCTGCTTATCTCGCTGTGAGGAGTCAAAAAGCCCAAAGTCACCATCCTGGGCTTGGAGTCAAAGGTCCTCATCATAGTCCTCATCGTCATCAACCATTTGCGGTTTGGTAGCTTTATCAAAGGCCTCCATGAGAGCCAATATGCCAAAGGTAAACATGGCTCCAAAGATGGTAGAACCCACCATGAAACCGAGTGCCAAGTAGAAATCACTGTATGCAAAAGAATGCTTTTCCTTTTTGGAAGCAGCACTTGGCTTGCAAGCAACATGTTCGCTGTCCTCTACGCTCGAGTTCTTTTTGCGTTGATCTCCGAGAGAGACAGGCACGTCGTTCTGGTTGTTGTCCCATTGCCCATTTTCCGTTGGATCGGAACTGGGAATCGAAACTTCATGGGCCTCGGAGCTGTCAGCAGCATGTCGGGATCGTTGTTCACTGCATCCTTCGCTGCCATTGCGATGATGGTTCATACTGCAATGGCGATTGCTGGCCACGAAGAGCGATTTCTCATCTCGTACATCAAGGTTGACAGTGTCAATGTAGCGAGATCTTGTGGAGGAATCGACCATAGAATGGCTACTAGCGCTTCCGACGAGTAGAGTGATGAACACTACCAACACTGCGGCACACGAGGTTTTCATGGTGTGTGTACGTGTTTAGTAGGAGCTGGATTTGAATTGTATTGTGCTGTACTGTACTGTACTGTATTGTCTGGAATAGATATACTGTACTTGGTTTATTTTTGTGTTTCGTGAGTGGAACAAAAGTGTTGGGGCATTTACTCTTTCTGCTTTGGGACCGTGCACTGGTAGGGCAAAAAGACTTGGACACCAAATCTGATCAGAAGAAAAACATGCTCGAAAAGGGCTCGTACGCTAGAAAATCAGCCACGTTGGTGGCGTTTTTCCCAGAAAGAACAACTCTTAATTTCAAAAGTGGACACCACCGCCGTTTCCCCGGAAACATGCTAAATTCATGGATCCCTTGCGAGCCAAAATGCTCTCTACTTGTATCTCGTGCGTGGTGGAATCCACATCCAGGCAGTCAAGGGAAACAGGTCCCAGGCAGCTGGCAGAGGGTTCAGGACCACTGACTGTATAGTCCAAAAAGTTCCAGCATTATTAGCACTAGAATACGTTTGGCAGTGCCAAAGATGTACTGTACATTATTGCCACTCAACTCGATTCATTCGTCATCATCAGTCCTGCTGTATTTCTCCATTCCTGTTGGGTACCCATTACTGTTCAGTGTGTTCTGTACGTGTGGTGCTTTCTTAAAAAATTAGCTGTCATTTATTCTATCAATTTAGTAGTCTATTGGGTACATGTGTAGCATTT